TTGCTTTGATAACACAAGAAATTACAGGCTAATGTTAATATTTCAGAGCAAGGAAGTAAGGCAAAACTAGTGAATTTGAATCAATAGTTTTGCATGCATTTAGGGCCTGATTAGTTCTTTGTGTAGCAGTTGTAACATATTTCAAGGGCCAAGTTCAATCCCTTCAAACAGAGTGAAAAGATATAGTCCTGGAAGTGATGGGATTTAAAAGCTTCTGCTTTGCCAATTGGAGAACTAAAGAAAAAATTTCAAATATGTTTGGTAGGGTCACCCTTTATCAAGCACTTTTATCAACTTAAATCCTCAGGTGCAAGTATGAAGCATATAAAACTGGAAAAAAAACCCTGGGGTCTTTAATGTTTGCATTTAATAGCACTCATTAATTAGAAATTAAAGCATTTAATAAGCTTTGTTTAAAGGCATGCTCAAGTTAGTTTGTTGTTAGGATGTGTGGCTGTGTGGCATTTCCTGTCAAAACTAATGAGAGAAGGCATATTGACCTTATAACTGATCATTTGTTTAGTATTATTTTCCAGCACATTTTTAGTTCCCAATCAGCTAATTCTCAAAAACTTGAGGCAGGAAAAATTATGGCAGATGAATACGGAAAAACCACAGGTGAAAGCATTCAGTGTTCTCAGCCATAGACACTAAGAAACCTCAGTGTGCAAACTCTGAACGAACCATAAAACAGTACCTAATGCAGCAAACTGCTGTGCTGGCATTGCATGCAGCTCTTGAATACTGTGGGGTAGCAAGGAATTATGGCTACAGAGAGCAACTCAGGAACTTGTTTAAAGTACTATATGAATACTTCTTGCACATCTTTTCACTTGTATCTCTTCTATGATTTGTGCCCTTTTCTCCTCTGAGCAGATTGAAAAGCAACTGGCAGAGTATCATAAACTGGCTCGAAAGCTGAAATTAATTCCAGTAAGTGCTGAGAATTCCAAAGGCCACGACTTTACCATGCACGTTAATCCTGATTTAGGACCAAATTTCCTAGTCAAATACAGAACTCAGATCATGGTAAGTAGAATCAACACTGAAGGCTTTAGATAGCACTCACAAAAAAAAAGTGTTTCTTTGGGAATGCTGGGAAGGTCTCTCAATCTCACAATGAAATGTCATTGAAAAGCTTGTGTGATGAGTCACCATAATGACATTGCAGTATATGAAAGAGATTTGGTATGGGAGAATACAGTAGCCTAAAAAAAATAAAAGGGAAAGATGTACTGGGGTGCATCTTGGTTCAGATTAGCAAATTGCATTTGTTCAATCTTCTTGTATACGTATTACAGGCTCCCCTCATGGAGATCATCAACGAGACTGAGGAAGAAATTAGTAAAGCCACTCAACGGAAATTTACTCTGGAAGACACTTTGGAACAGGTGAGTTAGTTAAAGAAGATTAACGCTAAGATACCAACCCCAAAACCTTATCTGCCTCTTTCATTCAACTTTTTGCATAGTTAAAGTGTGATGTGTTGGGTTGGTTTCTTGAATTACTTGGGGTTTTTCTGAGGACAAGTAGAGGGGGAGAAACTGTGAGAAAACTGCTTTTATTGTAATGGAACCTAAAAGTTTTTCTAAGAACTGAGGTCTTTGTTGGTTGAAATATCGTGTATTCCCTGAATTAAAGTTTATGTAGCTTACATATACTTGACCATAACCATTGGAAGTATTTGTTTCTAATAAGTTGCCCGTTCCAGTTGATTGTGTGGCTTACCATCACCGACAAATTGTCATCGGGAGGATTTTTAGTACTATTGGATTTGGGACAGATTGAAAGAAGGAGAATTTTATTTCCTCGTTCGTCTACCTGAGCATGGTGTTCTGCGGTATGGAATGTCCTCTTGGCCAGCTGGCCTCGCTATGCACCTTCCCAGTCTCTTGCCTGTCCCTGCCCTGCTCAGTGAGGGGCCCTGGGAAGCACAGAAAGCCTTGGACTGCTGTGCTAGCGCTATTCAGCAGTAGCCAAAACTTGGTGTGTTACCAACACTGTTTTAGCCCCTCATCCAAAACAAAGCATAACATAGGCTGCTATGAAGAAAGATAATGCCATCCCAGCCTAGCCTAGTTTAATGGTTTAACCTGTTTAACCAGGTGTGGTTTGTGATGGCATGGATTTATATGTTGGAATTCTTTTTGAACCATACTTCCTTGGTTATGTTTTCGTCCTAGGTGAATGTAATGCTAGAGGACAAGAAACGCAGTGTGAAAATGCTGACAGAAGAAGCTGAAGAGCTGGATGATCTTTACCAGCAGAAGCTTAAGGTACAACTTCTTACACCTTGATGACAACTTATCCTTAATGATAGCCTTATCCTTAATTTTTGTATTTATCGATAAATTTTTGGGTTGCATTTTTGTTTGGGCTTCTGCCTTTACCTTCTTCCTTCCCTCTTAGAGGATTTTTTCATTCTTTTCAGAAAAGTGATTTGACTGCCACCTTAACTGAATCAATTTTCACTTTCTTGTAAGAGAATCTGGCATCCTACTGTAGCAGATCCTGTAAATCATAAATTCCTGCATCCAGTAATAAAAGCAGCAACAATCATCTGACCTCAGGATATCTCCGGGCATGTGCTTGAAGGAAATTTTAGGATCAACAGAACCTGTCTTGTCTAATCGATTTGTATATAATAAATACATTTTTACAGTTTTTAGTTAACATGTTTAATCAGCTTCTGTAAAAACAAAGGAAAACATTGACCAAAAGCATGTTAAATTGTTTTAATGATCTCAAACTGTTACTTCCTTTAGCTTCCTTTGCCAGCACAGGAGCAGTCCCTATTCTTTTCCCCACTTGCAGTTCAGCAACAAAACATAACCCTCTCTGTTAACAACTGAGTGGCTATTTTGGTAGCTCCCAACTTCTCTGACAACACTGCTTTAGCGGGGCCGTGGTGCCCTGCAGAAAAATGTTCTTTGAACTACACCAATATTTACCATATGTGCTCCTGTAAATCCAAACTCCTGTGCTATAGCCATGAAACAGGGCTATTTCGCTGCTAATACCTGCTGAGGCAGGTGTATATATAGGTTTATAAAGGCAATTAATTTAGTTTCTATTTTTCAAAACCACATGACATTTACCTTTTGATCTGTGCTCTTGCATATACTTTTCTCCAAAGTTAAGCTCATAAAATACACACTTGCCACCAGACGCTTAGTCATTTAATTCCTCTTCTAATATTTAAAATGCTGTTTGTAAGTCTTAAGTATTAAAATTATTTTTGAAGGATGATGTTTCAGTAATCTACCGAAGTTGCATGTTGAGTTGACGTCAGAATTTTGTTTGGTTTTGTGGACTGTATAGCATCAACAGTGTCATTCTCCTAGAAGAGATGATTATTTGGAATTATACTCTCTTTCAGACAAAAAAGAAAAGCTATTTTCTTACTCAGATGTGGTTGTATTTTTTAACCTAGAAACAGTTGTTCATAATGTGCCATTTCTAAGCTATTTAGACTATGTAAACAACACTTTGTGAGCTTTAACTCGGAAGGGAAAGTAGCTGCAACACAGGCCTTTAAATGTGGTTAAAGGAATAAAGAGATGGTTAGGCTTATTCTGGGATGGGGATGATACAGAAACTTTAGGTTTGGGAGGGATATCCTTGGGGCTTTTTTCAGTTCTGAACTTGGAACTATTTGTGTGAATTTTGAATTCAAGTATTAGGATATAATCAGGTAACAGAAAGAAAAAAAGATCCGAATTATACTTGAGAGAGGCCATTTTTTTTTCTTCTCCTTCCTTATGACAACAGGAGATAGAAGAAGAAGACAAGAAATATGCAAATGAATGGGAATTGTTTAAGAAGCATAAACAGTTACTTGAGAGTGGTGTCTATGATGGGCTCAGTGAAGCTGCAACTGAATTGCATGATATCGAAAGAGAGTAAGGCTCCTAACTTCCATGTCTGCCTTGTTTATTTTGGTTTTTAAGGATAAAGATATTTTCTGGAATGTAACATACAGTTGTTTCATCAGGTATCCATCTCAGTGTGTTAATTTCACAAGTTAACAACTGAAAGATGTTTCTCCTCAACAGTATTTTGCTAAAATATTTGTCTGCTGTATCAGAACTCCTGTTTTCCACGTAAGGGTTTTTCTTTAAGTTGAGCATTAATATATTGTAACTCGGTTCAAATTAATACTAATGGAAAAAAAAGTATGGCTAAACGTGATGATAAATCAGACTTGAAGTGATTGTTGTAAATGTCAGGAATTCTCCAATTATGGACATGACCTTCTGAGTATCTTTACCTTTTAGATATCAAGTCGTTTTGCTAAGAACAACAGAAGAGAACAGAAAAATTGATGCTAACTTGAGTCGTCTTGTAGAAACAGTTGCTACTCATATAGAATCTATAGTGGTAAGCTAAAATTTGATATTCAGAATTAAATCTCTCTAGAGACATTTTGCAGTTAAACACTTGGAAATTAGAGCTTACTCTTTCTAAGGAAGTATCAGTTATTTAGCTGCTACTAAGCCTGCGGATTCTAGTTAAATTTTCTGACAAAACCTTTGGTGTAAATAATCAGAATTGGTTGTTAAGTGTCAGCAGTAACATCCTGTCAGGTTAAACCTGCTTCTGAGAGGCGTCTTTCAGGAAGGTGTTTAACTGAAATCAGTTAACCTGTGCAATGACTGCTTAAAATGCTTTAGCAGAATCAGTAAAATACAGGCCATGACAGAGCTAATAAAGCTCTCTGTACCTCTTTTCTAGAAATACCTTGAAGAACAGAATGCAAGAATAGAAAGAGACGATGAAGAATTCATGCCTGAAGGTCTATTGTCAAACCTGACCAGCATCCTAGACACTTATAAAAAGAAGGCTGAAAGTGTCTTATCACTAGAAAGATGAAGATAAGGTTTTGGTCCCATTCAGTGCCATTGTTTGCCATTTTAGCCCCATTTTAGTGCATTTTTTTGCTATTTTAGGGTAATTTGGAGAAATTGGGAGAAATTTGAGCAATTTCCTGCTCCACAGGGTCACTGAGGGAGCGGGCCAGGGACAGGTACTGCAGCTGGTGCTGGGGGAAAAAACAGGGAAATTGGTTAAAGATGGGGAAAATTGGGAATTTTGGGAGAAAATTGGGGGAAAAACCAAAAAAAAATGGGAGAAATTTGGTTAAAATTGTGAGAAATTGTGAGCAATTTGCTGCTCTGAGGGGTCCGAGAGACGCCAGAGCAGGGAGAGGGGCTGGAGATGGAGCTGGGAAAATGGGGAGAAAATGGTGAAAAAAGGGGGAAATTGGTTAAAAATGGGGAAAAGTGGGGAAAAATTGGGAAAAAAAAATTGGGGAAAATTGGAAGAAATTGGGGAAAAAAAGAGAAGAAATTGGGGGAAATTTGCTGCTCTGAGGGGTCCCCCTGGGAGCGGCCCAGGGAGAGGTGCTGCAGCTGGGGCTGGGAAAATGGGGAAAAAATTGGGAGAAATTGGGGGAAAAAGGGAAAAATTGGTAAAAATAGGAAAAAGTGAGAAAAAATGGAAAAAATTGTTAAAATTGGGAGAAATTGAGAGGAATTTGCTGCTCTGAGGGGTCCGAGAGACGCCAGGGCAGGGAGAGGGGCTGGGGATGGGGCTGGGAATTTGGGATTGGAATTTTGGGATCTGGGAATGGAATTTTGGGAATTCTGGGATCGGAATTTTGGATTCCCAAATTCCCACCCAAACTCCTCTCCAAAACTCCCCAAATCCATCCCTAGAATCCCCAAATCCCCCAAATCCACTTCCAAATCCCCAAAATTCCAATCCCAGTCTCCTCAAATCCCTTCCCAATCCCCTTCAAACCCCTTCCCAACATTCCCAAAATTCCCATAGCCCTGATCCTACAAACCCCATAGCCCTGATATCCCACAACCCCGAGCCCTGCGGGAGCTGCAGCTCCTCACGGTGCTGGGCCAGGGCCTCGTGGAACAGACCTGGGATGGGAATGATCCCATAAACCCTGACTGTATAAATCCCATAATCCTGATCCCAGCAAAAATCCAATTTCCCATTTCCATTCCCATTCCCAGCTTCCCATTCCCAGTTTCCCCAGCTCCATTCCCAATTTCCCAGTTTGAATTCCCACTTTTCCCAGTCCCAGTCCCAGTTTCCCAGTTGGGAATTCCCATTTTTCCCTGGAATTCTCTCTCACCATGAGCAGCCAGGATCTCTCCAGCCCCATTCCCAGTTCCACTCCCAGTGTCTCAGCCCCATTCCCAATTTCCCATTCCCAGTTTCCCATTCCCAGTTCATTTCTCAGTTTCCTTTTCCGAGTTTCCCAGTTTGAATTCCCATTCCCCATTTCCCATTCCCAATTCCATTCCCAGTTTCCCATTCTCAGTTCCAGTTCCCCCAGTTCCACTCCCAGTCCCATTCCCAGTTTCCCATTTCCATTTCCAGGTCCATTCCCTCTTTTCCCAATTTCCCACTCCAGTTTCCCAGTTCCATTCCCACTTTTCTCAGCTCACAGTTCCCAGTTTCCCAGTTCAGAATTTCCACTTTTCCCAGTTCTCCCAGCTCACAATTCCCATTTTTCCCTGGAATTCTCTCTCCCCATTTGCAGCCAGGATCTCTCCAGCCCCAATCCCAGTTCCATTTCCAGTTTGAATTCCCAATTTCCCATCCCACAATTCCCATTTTTCCCTGGAATTCCCTCTCACCATTTGCAGCCAGGATCTCTCCAGCCCCATTCCCAGTTTGAATTCTCACAATTCCCATTTATCCCAGTTCAGAATTCCCATTTTTCCCTGGAATTTTCACCATTTGCAGCCAGGATCTCTCCAGCCCCATTCCCAGTTTGAATTCTCCCAATTCCCAGTTCTCCCAGTTTGTAATTCCCATTTTTCCCAGGAATTCTCCCTCACCATTTGCAGCCAGGTGGACTAAAACAGCTGGACTAAACTAACGTGTTGGAGGGAGGAAAAAAGGTTTGCAATTTATTAATGTATTCAAAAGGCTGTTACAAAGTTTACAATTTAATTATTGGAAGATTATAGAACTGCTTCACTGCTTCTGTACTGTGTTAAATAAACTGTATGTGCAAGGAGTAATAAATGAAATTGTTAATTTCAGTGCATCCTTAGGGAATAGTAAGAGGGAGAGTTTACATTATTTAGAGCTCCAAATGGATTTGAGTTTATATGCAGTAATAAATCTTAACTACATTGTTAATTAACCCTGCCTCAAGCCCCTTTTTGCCTTAGGAGTTGAAAGACACGGTGTCTGTTAGCATAACTCACCATTCATGCGCTTAAAGATGTTTAGGACTGGGAGAATTTGCCGATAATAGGGCACCAAGGCCTCCCCCACCACTTCAGCTGACACCACCAACCAGGTGCTGGATGACTTTCAGCGTGGTGCAGAGGACCTGTCGGTTACGAAGGTTCAGTGCATCTGCGATGCAAAAAGAACAACAGGCAGAAAGCAGAATTAATTTCTAAAATGTAAAGGGAGGGGGAGGAGTCCTCCAATGGACAAATTTAATTAAACTATACTCTGTTGGGAATTGTAAGTGGGCCTTTATTAGCCCAGCTTAGAAAGATCCCAAAGATGGATCTGTCAAATGTACTCCTGAACAGGCCAAAGTCTGCCCTCTGTAAGTCTAAGGCTGCAGGTCTGCTGACCTATCTCCTTCCTTCTCTGATAATTGAAAAGTCTATCATTACATGAACACTGTGCCCAAAAGGTCTGCAGCCACCACATCACCACATAGCAGCCAACCAGCTCCTGGCTTGATTATATTAGGCACTTTATAAACATTCAATTAGAGGCAGTCCCTGCCCCAAAGATACACCACTTTCAAATACCTGTTTATATTCTTAAAATCTGGTAATGATTTTACGTGTACTACCATCACTACAATCCATTCTCCCACAAGAATAAAAGGAAGGAAGGAAATATTAATGCAGTATATGAAAAAAGTATATTCCAATACATGGGAAAATATCAGTGGCATCTAGAGGTTAACATAAATTGAAGAAAGTATTCTTACACAGGATTAAAGCAGACCATTTAGGAATCTTGGTACACTACAGCTACATAGCCCAAATGAAGGGAAGACGCATAATATTCAAAGTATTCCATTTTAGAAAGCATTCTAGGCTGTTGCCTCTTGGCCTAGAAGTCTGCTGGATCTGTTATTGTGAAGACATGGATCTTCACAATAACTGCAAAGTGCACAACTGGTTTGCTTCTCAGTTAAAGATACCTTTCTGCTCCCTGAAGGATTTTGAGAGGACTTTCCTCCCTCATCGGTACATCTTTTTCTTTGGTCCTTTAACTACTGTAACATTCTCTTAAGCAGCAAAAAACTCCAACCCAATAAATTCACTCTGTTGCTTGGTAGTTTTGATGTTTTCTACTTTAATGGTATGAACTAAAGATTTTGCTTCTGATTTAGGATATACTTTTCCAAGAAATCCTCCAGCTTAAATAATAGCTCAATTGAAGTATATAATGAAGTATTTTTCATTCAAACATACGTTATTTCGTACTGCTATAGCTTTTCCAAACAAATATTTTCTGAAGTTCATAATAACTTTCTTAATTAAAGAAAATTTTACAATGATATCAGCTTAATATCTGATTTAAAAGCTGATTTTGTGCTATTTCTACCATTCAAAGCCAAAGTAAGAGATAGTTATGAAATTTGAAAGCATATTCAAAACACCATGGTGCTGTTTATTAAAGCTTGTTACCAATGAGACAACATAAGATACCAATTCACTGACTTCAGCGAAGACTTTAATGCTGTCTAGCCTCTCTTCTAGGTCAGCCTTCACAAGGCATCAATGTTAATTCACTATATTTTTAATTTCAGACAAATTTTATTGGTAATTCATGTAAACTGATGTAAATTTAGTGTTTCTTTTGTTAATTTCCATTAAGAGCAAAAGCTTTCCTTAAGATACACGCCACTTGTTTGCTTATCCATTTAGCTAGATGTTTACATATAAAGCAATAGAAATAATTATTTTAAAACATTCAAATCTTTTTCTTGAGTAACTCCTTACCTCTCAAAGACCTAGGAATTATATAAGTTGATATCTTTTATTTTTATGTGGCAGTTTGGAAAATCCTATCTCAGTCCCAGACATTGTCTATAATAGAAGCCACAGTTCTCGTCTGACAGATAAAATGGATAGATTCTATAGGTCAGGAAACATGACAGCATTTCTCCCAATGCACAGTGGATCTTTATCATGACACAATGTAGTTCCACTGAAGAGAACAGAGCAAATCACAACATTTTCTCCCAGATAGCACATTGATATCCTGAGCTTTACAGAATCGAATCAGTTTGCCTAAACTTCTGTCTCTTCTCAACTACTAACTCTAGATTTTGGTCGTTACGTTAAAAGTTATGTTGATAATGTAATTCTTCTCTTCAACTTCTTTTTCAAATACCACGTGAATCTATGCTTAGAAGTGCACCAACATTTCCGTTTTCCATTTAGGTCTTGCAAGCAAACATTAAAACCAATTTATTTTGCATTCATATCTCTCACTCAATTGGTAAATGAGGCAACAGTTTAGGACAACTCTTTGCCTGAAGCAGAACAAGATACCGTCCTGTGAGGTAAAAAGCACTCAGGATGAAAATGCTTGACTGTTGTGATCTACTAAATCCTGTTAACTAAGGTGCTATTTTAAATTCACAGACTTAGGTTCAAAGAAGTCCTAACATCAAATGTTCTCAAAATGCAATTGACTAAAGTGATACATACGTTTAGAAAATTTTGTTCAAAATCTTCAAAGTGCATAATACTTAACTAACTGTACTTACAGAATAGTATTATGCTAAACTTAGAGAACAGTAATGAAGACTGTTACAAAACACAGCATTTCAATCAAGAGTGAATAAAAACCAGAATAAGAACCTTGTGTTCCGTACCTTTTAGAAGTCCAGAAAGAGCCTGATCCAAATAATGCAGATGTACAAAAATTTCTTTCTGTACAACTGAAAGAATGATGTGTTACAGTGAAACCATGGGAAGGATAAATAGGGGGTAAGACATGAAAACTTTATGCCAGTTTTGTCATCAAAGACCTTTTTTTGTAAAGCCAATCTAAGGCACAGAAAATGCTAAGATACATAGCGAAACACTGATGCTTTCAAAAAACATGATATAGCAAAATAGGGAAGGAAAAGTCAGTCAGTGGCTTCTTTCAGCTTTAGCTGTGCTTCCAATTGTAGCATTTTACTACATCAGCTCCTATAAAGCTTGAATTCTATTAACATTTGTGGACCCAGTTTAATTATATAGCATTGGGACTTAGAAGAGAGTCCCAAAAACCTGCTCATTGGCTATGCCAGTCTAGAGTTTCTATCCATTCCTAGGTGTACATTCCTTTTTCTGTGCTAAGATACTAAAACTGCACTGAGTATCGACTGTCCTGATGAAAACAGGTCTGCTATCACTGAAATGTGATGCCATTTAGAAAAAAGGTCTGCAGAATCAAAGTATAGGCATCTGTACTGCAAATCCCAATCTAGAATTCTAAATGTTCTCTAGATCATTGAAGAAGAAGAATGTGCTAAAACAGTTTTCTTAGACTTTCAAAAGGAATTTAATAGGGTCCCTCACTGAACCTCCATGGCATCCGTGGAAATAAATACTGACTTAGAGTTAGAAACCGTGGGCAGAGGAAGAATATCGCTAGTAAGGCCTTGCAGGAATCTGTGCTGAATTTCATCCTTTTCACGAGATCCAAATGTGATTTGGAAGAATCTTCACTGATGATAACAAAGATGCTGATAATATCAAGTTATTCCAGATGCCAAAGACAAGGGCTGACTCTGAAGAACTGTAGAGAAAAACTGGGTGATAAAATTGCAGATGAAATTCATTACTAATAAATGCTAAATATAATACATTTATGAATTCAGGAATAAATACCTCTAACTCCAACTTTAAAAGTCAGAAATGTTAATTACAGATTTCACTTTCCAAACATGGATGAGATTTATCTTTATTGAATAAGGAACACGGTTTCTCCTCATATAAAAGAGCAAAGAGGATAATAAAGGAGCTACTTCCTAAAACAGTTGAAAATACCTGGAATGACCAGTTTTGGGCAGAAGAATCGAACATAAACCTAATTGCAACTACTCGCACTGGCTGATGAAACCTGCAGGGGAAATGCTTTAGTATTTGAATATCAGAACAATTTAAAAAAAAATCAGAGATCTTTGATTTCTTTAAAAGCATTTTAAGTCTATAAAAGCCGGCTTGTTTGCTTTTATCTTTCAGTTTGTGACCTTAATAACCAGTACTGGTTCTCAAGAACAGTCAGCCAGGAGGAAAATTACAATAGGTTAGTGTATTAACTTACTTTTTGTAGGTGAGAGAAATCAACTTATATGATTTGGAGAAAGGAAATGACAACAGACCAGAAAACCATATTTATTCCATAAAAACATTGCAGAACTTTGTGAAAGGAAGCATTTAACAGTCATTAAGTACTCCTAAATACTGTGAATATATGAGAACTACGAATATGCTTAGAACAGCTGCTAGCAACACATCCAGCTTTACATATCTAAATGCAAAAGTGACACTGATTTGACATTAAATAGGAATTAACTACACTGTAATCCAAGACAACATTTTTCATGCAGATAGAATGAACAATAAGAAAATGGAAATCAAGTGCAAACAGAATGTGAACAATAAGAAAAGAGAAATCAGTTTTATTTGGAATTTTATTAAACATTAAAAAGGACTCTAGGTAACACAGAGAGGAGTGCTCTATTCAATTCTCTAAATCTGACTCACAAAAATATCTATTACCTTAATTAAATATTTTAAACAAAGTTTAAGGTATCCTTGATTTACTGTATCACAGAAGCTATGTTTAACAACATGGTAAAAGTCTCAAGAAGGAAAACTTCAGTGTTCCTTAGGACGGTGATTATTCTTTCTGGACTCAATCAAAAGAACCGGTCTGCTGACTGGAACTGTGTAGAAACAATACTTCCTTCTAAGTTACAAGTGCAAAGATGAGAGCTTTTCTAGCTTTAGGCCTAAGTTCAGATTGTCTACATATCTGTTTTAGGATTCACAGCACAGAACAGAGAAGATTTTGGCAAGTGAGTGACCCAAGATACTCAAGTGTTTAATTTCACAATATTATCTTCATTAGCAAAACCATATGATGATCTTCCTATTGATCGTTTCTAGCCATTCATTCCAATGAATGCGCTCTGATGTACTGTTCCTTCATATATTGGAGTGCATTTATAAATTAGACTATTGAAATGATTTGATTTTAAAAGTAATGCTACTTTAAAAATAATTTTGGTTTATTTTACTGTTGGGTTCCTTAGCTATTTTTTGTTGTTGTTGTTTTTACACATCTAGATGCAAATACCACCAAGTTGCTCCATAAACAATTGCATTAGCAAAAATCAGAGTGTGGGAGCTGGAACAATTGGTGATTTTAAGCATGCAGGGGTTGAAGACTCCTACAACTACATTGCAAGCAAAGCAAATGCGAATGGCAGCATGCTTGCTGCCTCTGAAAGCAGGGGAGGCGCTTCCACGCACTGCGCTGCATGCCGCTGATGTCACTCACAGAAACAGCAGACAGAGGTGCAGAAACTTCTGGCTCCCTCAGTGTTTATGTCTACGCGTGTGTCTCACGCAGAGAACATTTGGGAGCCCTGAAGTCAGGAATCTGAGAGCTGCAGAAGCCTAACAAAAGCCAGCAAAAGGACTTCAGGCTTTTCCGATCCATTTGTTATGGGAAATGTAATATTAAAAGTAATAATTTTTCCCAAAAATGAACATCAGAGGGAATTTTACACTCCCATAATGACCACAGAGAAGAACATCGAAAGGCTAGACAGACTCCTCTGTTTCCTACAAATAAAGGAACCCTCATGTAACCTACAGACATCTCTGTTTGCCAGCCCAGGGGGCTGTGCCCGGGTTCTGTTCAGCCCTCTGCCACCAATCCAATCTGCAATGTGGGGCAAAATTAGCCTCCTTCCTCCGCTTTTTTACCTGTGTGTAATGTGAAAAGAGCAATACGGATCTTCCTGGCAAAGGAGATATCTGCCTGTTTATTGTGCGTCAGAACTTTCATGGTACTGCTGCAAAGTACTTTGCTATTTGCCATATATCTCAATTTATATATCTTTGCTGAAGCTGAAATAACTCAGCCAATGGGTTTGCCTATATCTTCTGTGAAAGGGAGCAAAAAGTCCTATATCTTAAGTAATCCTGTTTTTCTGTGTTTGTGCTGTATTTATTTTTAGTTGGATTCCTTACAAGTTTGACATAAACAGGTAATTTGTTTCTTCTGAGTTTTATGTCATGCAATGACTGCGTTTATAAACTATTTTATAATGTTTTTCCAGTGCGTGATACAATATATTCTTAATTTATATTTTGAGAACTCAAAATGTATTTTGAACATTTTTCTCTCTCAGAAATTAATGCCTCCAACCTGAGGGATTTTTTTCTTCCTCTGAATTCCCAGTAAAAATATTCCTTCTAGTAAAAAAGTTCCTTCCAGTGTGACAAACAAAAAAAAGGAATTCTTTTTTAACTGAATGCATTCTTCTTCATTATTTTAATCATGTTTCAGGTATTTTAGAAGGGAATCCATGCCTGTTCAATTCAATTGCCTGTCATTTTTTAAGTCACTGCTTGGTTAACAAGAAAAAAAATGAAAGGATTTGGGCTTAGAATAACCCACAGATGGATTAAATAATATTATTTTCATTTTTAATGATATAGTGTTCAAATGTGTGCTCTTTAAGCAAGGATGGCTGGAAGACAAATTCCTCCTTAAATCATTAAAATATAATACAGAATTCTAATATTTAATTTAAAGGCTTTTGAGAACATTTAGGTCTTTACTAACGTATTCCTTTGACGTCTATGCAGGAGAGAAAACTGCTTTTAAAAGCATTCTATCTGTAGAGTTGTTTTTCTGACCTCCTTTTAGCCTTTTGCCCTAGATCATATATATTAACTTTCCTAACAATCAATTGATTCACTCTTCACGGTAAAAAGATGGTAGTGGTCTAGAAGAAGACTGGTTAATCAGAAATAACTCACCCAGTGGGACACTTTAGAGACGGTAATCTGTGTAAAACAGAGCTGAGTTTATTGTGGATGCTGAGTCACAGAAATGTATAGCTACGACTACACTGCTGTATTACACAGTCATAGCAAATTAAAAAAACTCTTAAAAGTACACATTTTCAGACTCCTGGAGGTGGCGGGTGGTGTCTTCTTTTACTATTAGTATGGCTTTAATTAGGAAGAAGCCTTTATCATTGATAACACTTAGACTCTCCACATATTAAAACTGATAGAGAAGCATTTTTAAAATAAAAAATAAGCACTTTAGAATAAAATAAAGCAGAAACAACAATTAAATTTAGCTAGCAGATTCTTGAATGTGTTCCAGCACCATAAATTATGACTTAACACTACATATCAAACCCATAAAAATATCCTTAACTAGAAAACTCTTTCTAATTCTAAATGCTATGTAACAGTTAAAGCTTCCAGGTAATTAAATCTAAGCTAGATTCTGTTTTTAGAAAGATTTTTAAATCCCAACTGAGGAGATGCTGTCACAAACCTGCAGCCTTTTCCAAAGAAATTTCACCTTTCAAAAAACATGATACTACTGCAAATACATGTGGGTGATGTTGGCAATACAGTTCTGAAGAAGTGATATCATTCCTCTCCTTACATGTTTCCCCTTCAGAGTGAAAAAATGGTAACATTGCTTTCATAACCTTTCTCAAGTGTCACAGAGTAAGCATTCTGATTATATAATCCTTTTGACATTTTCAAAACTATGGTAAGATAGAGATAGCGACACCTATAATCAATCTTTTTAAATTGAGAAAAAATTGAATGAAAAAACCATAATTCTGACCCTTCCCACACTATTATTTCAGTATTATCAGGCTCCAAACTATATTCAGCTCCTGTTTTACAAAACTGTATTTAATGCTGAACTGTCTCATGGACAGGAAAAAGAGCAGCAATGATACCATTAATGATTAATCATAAAAAAGAAGCCAAGTTTAACAAAAATGAGCATATATTCATATAAGTGTAGCATGCAGATTTAAGAATCACCATAACTAACTAGACAATGATGATGGTTCAGAATAATATCTCTTCAAGGTACTGACCTAAAGAAATGAAAGGACGAAACAGTATATCTAAAAGACTAGGTGGTTCAAGAAAATAAATTTTAGTGATAATACACTTGAAGTTTAGTGGTATTAAATTTGTGTTAAAATAATTCATTGGTTTTTACAATTATTCTTTATGCAAAAAAACTATGTTTGACAAAATAAAACCTTCAAAAGTAATATTTTTAAGATGCCACCTGATGACTTCTCCTGCCATTTTAGATGAACTGGTCTGTACAGTAGCAGATTTACATTGTAAATATAGAAAATCAGCTAAGGAAATGTCACTTCACGTTTCCAAAGACCAAGAGCAACCCTGTAATAAGAGAAACATTAACCAGAGAGTCTATTCTGAAATACTGCACATATCAGGTGATTGAAGGCATAAGCTTTCTGGCCTTATATATTGAAATTTACTGACATTTGCAGTAATTTCTCATGTGATGTTCAGGCTGTCATGTTTTACAGCTTAATTAGCAACTTTTCAAAAATTTACATAAGATAAATACAATTTATGGACTTTTCTCCTACATGTTCACTTACTTTTTATTGGGATAATGAGCTGAGGAACAACAGGAAGAATCCTGCTTCCACCATGCTCCAGCAGGTCATGGACTCCTTGACGAGCAAAAAATTCATATGGAAATTCCGTTTCACAAAGCCCATCAAAGAACAAAGGCAGAAAGTAATGATAATCCAGCTCTTCAATCTGTACCTGAAAATACAAAATAAATAAACAGATAAATTCAATTTTTCAGTACTAATACAATGCGGTCAGGCCAACAGATAATTCATGCCACTTACACAGGCATGTTTAGTAAATGATTCATTTTTTATCACTGCAGTATATATTGAATGATAGGTATGGTTTATGACAAGATATTAAAATACAAAAATATTAGAACTAAAGAAGAAAATAAAAATTAGTATACTTCTACAAATTTTCAATTTTTGAAAAGTCAGTACCAGATTCTTATATTCTTGCTAACACACTTTGCAAGTTACACAGGAATCAAACCAGTCCTTTTAAGAACAATACTCTGCTTCTTTCAAAAAAATTTGATGTTATATCTTCACTTGGACACTCAAAACAACAAATAAGAGAAACAATCCTGTGAGCACAGCACATAAGTCAATATTTGTACAACAATTCCCTAATTTGTTGAATACTGACCTAGTTTATTTCCTATTAATTTCAAGAGCAGAATTATAAAGAAATTCCATGGTTCTCTACTGTGAAGAAAAGGTATAGAAATTATGTACCTGTTTTTAAAAGGAATTTCCTTCCAAACCTAAATTGCAAAGTATGCTAATCTTAACAAGCTATGGAGGGATTTTGCACTCTAGTTCCCTTCCCTTTTCCTTCTTTTACCCATTAGGACTCTACCACAGACACTCAGGCTAGCCAGGGAGAAACTGAAGTTTGTTTATGGCCTGTCAAAGCTCTGAATACAGCTGAGAAGTAATTCAACAGCAATGAATTTTCTCTGAAAAGAATATGATCCTCCAAATCACTTGGAGACCAATCCATCTCTTTAAGAATGCACTTCCATCTTTAAAGCACTGCTAAGCTGCTGCCCAATTTTTCCAGTGAGATTTGGTAGTATCCAGGTAAGATTCTTCACACCTAACAAGCTTTGTCACATAGGTCAAGCTAAAGCTCCAAATATCCTGGATAAAATTTGTCAGGTTAAGCAAAACCAAAATCCCACCCATTTATTTCAGAACAGAAATTGCAGTCTCACTTGAACTGTGGAAATCTGAAATAAAGTAGCCAAGAACTAAATTTTACAATTCTTGGGTAAATCACACAGTCAGGAAGTAGCACGTAGAAATTCTCTGTTTGACACCATCGTTCATTTTTATCCTTGCTTGACTGAGTAGATCTGAATCCTGGTCTGGCACACCTTAGCTACTGACTTCCGTCTTTCATGTTGAAGGAGATCAATCCATGAAAATCAAAATTAACCGGAACTGATACTTGAAAGTAAGTATTATGCATTTGCTGTGAGTGTCTCACTACTGGCAGACACAGTGCAATGACATACTAACACAGCCTCACATGCACTGATTGTTGATCTCTTACAGGACATTAAAAGGGCAATGGCATAATACCTATTCACTGATGTGAAAGAAATCAAGTTCCAGTAGTGGAGCATGCAGGAGAAGGACAAAGGAAACTCACATTTCCTGTTTCATCAACATCATATATTGTTTGCTTCACTATAATTTTTTTTTCTCATTGCCTTTTTGCTTTACAAGAAGAAAATCAGATGCCTTTATAGTCAATATGAACCCAGGGAACCGGCCTCAAGTTGCTCCAGGGAAGGTTTGGATTAGATATTAGGAAAAATCTCTCCACAGAAAGTGTTGTAAAGCACTGGAACAGACTTCCCAAGGAAGCGGTGGAGTTGCCAACCATGGAAGTGTTCAAAACCTGTGGCTATGGCACTTGAGGACATGGTTTAGTGGTGAACATGGTGATGGTACTGGGTTAACAGTTGGACATCACAGTATTTTCCAACCTCAATGATTCTATTATTATATAATTCTGTGGATATACCATGGTCAATTTTTGAGACATTTCAAAAATAACAAAATAATTCGGTAACAAAAAGAAATTAAATATTGTGATTATTAATAAATAACAAGAATTAAAAGACATTGAAATTCCTTATTGATGGGGTTTGTATTTCTTGAGGACATTCAGCATGCTACTAGCAATACTCAGTAGATGATAAAGAAGTCATCTCCAAAAGTCACAAGAGAGTTGTATCAGGCAATAATGGACCAGGAGGTCAAAAAATCATTGACAAAAAAGCAGGACCAAGAAGAAGCAATTTTTTCATGTTCTTTGTCAATAGGACAATAAAACTTTATTTAATATAGCTTTTTAATGTTCAATTCGTAACGTACAATTTTTTGGTATTGAATGTTTTATTTTCAGAAAATCAAAACCAAAACCTGTAACAGCAACTTGCATCTGGCAAAAGCTTCAGATGTTAAAGACAGAGATACAATTAGGAATGCTAGGTTGTTTTTTTTTTGAGGGTGAGAGGTGTTTCACCAGGCAAAACACCTTACCACAGCTGTCTTACTGAGATGGGGTTTAGAATGTATTCCTTACATGGGTATTCAACAACTCTTTTAAAACTTAAAAGTATTTCCACAGTGAAAAATGTCCTTGACACCCATCCATGTTCAGCTACTGAATCAGAATTTGCATCTGTTTTGCTCCAAGGACACATATGCCTCATTTCTTTTCTCCCAGTCTTCATTAATACCTCCCCTAACTGTAAGTGCCAGTTATCTTCTCAAAGATTTGGCGCTTCTGATACTCTATGCAATTTTTTTCTTTTTTTTTTTTTTTTGTGCTTCAAATATGCTTTTTCTCTTTCAGCTATGAAGAAAACTTCTCTACTCAGAAGCTTGTCAGTGTTTTTCAGTAATAATAACTGGTTAATAAAAGATATCCTTACCTATCAACTCTGAATTATGGTCGCACATTACATATACATAGGAATGATATATCAACGTTAAGGTAAATATGACTTCAGGATTTAAAAACAACTCAAATTTTTACACACAGAACAAAACATTTATTACAAGAAATCTTTTACAAAATAGACACATGACAAGCTAGTGATTATAAAGTATTTGTGTGTACTCCTTAATTAGTTCCAAATGCCTAAATGGTTGGCAACTAACATGGCTCCGAAAATGATTTTGATTTCTAACTTATTTCTTGAAGAGTCAGCTGTCCAAGCACACAGGCAATTTTTACATAGCTTTTTTTGCTCTATAATAACTCCCACAATATGGAAGCCAGAAATGTTTTGTCTTACATTCTATGGTGTGAAACTCTTTCCTTCTGTGTTTACTATTTAGCTTTTGAAAGTGGCTATTATACAGCTGTTCAGAGAAAAATGTGATTTTTCTGGTTTTGCCTACAACATCCTTTTGTGTTTTACATCCACCCACAAAAAATGCTGATTAATGCTCAAATTCTTGGCAAACTTGTCTACATCTGGCAATGATTCTGTAGCTATGGATTTTAAGAAGAAATCTCACAATAACTCTTATGAACTTCTATACTAGTGGTTTGTAAATTTTGCAGACATAGCCTCTGAATGTCAGTAAAGAGGCACTAATAAAAATTAATGCATAATATATGATTAAATAACAAAATTAACCATAGAATGTCAGTAAAATCTTACGCTTCATGAAACTTTCAGGATCCTTATATGTTCTAAAAGCTCTCTAGGTGAAAAACAATACACAGATAATAAGTGCTGCTTTATTGTTACATAAAACTAACGTACAAGATGGGAGGAAACTAGTTGCAGAATCACAGTCAATTTGTCCAGGAGAGAATCTGTTCCTATGAAGCAGCCCATAGTAAGTGGCAAGTCTGCTGAGGCAAAGAAAAATCAGATAAAGATTTTAGACTGACAAAAGAAAAATAAGATTTGTGGATAATCTGTCTGATAGATCAAGAAAACAAACTGTTTGAGATAATTTAAGGTATAGAAGAACTTTGACAACAACTGTATCATTGGTCTTCCTTAAAGAATTTTATATAAAATGATCTAGTAAAATATAAGAGAAACCCAAGTTTTGGAAAGTAGTGTTTAAGCCACATAATTTAATTTTCCATCTCCTTTCACACAACTGATTATATTGTACCATGTCTTTGATCTGATCATCCAAATACTGGATTTGATCTCCCAGAAACATATCTAACTATGTACGTACTCATTTAATGTCTTGGTCTAAGGCATTAAAATTAAGAAACTCTAGAATTGGTGGGTTGATAAGGACAAACAGGAGTTTTTATAAAGCTTGTAAAGATTTTGTAAGGATTCTTTGGTAAAATAATAGTTTCTCTTAAGTTTTACTTTAATGTCTGTTCTTTAGCTTAATTAAAAAAGAAAAACAGCAACATTTTTCAGCAGTCTCAGTTTTTAACTTCCTTTCCACTTTTTCATCCAAGATTTCTTTCAACCTTTTTTTTTTTTCCTTCCAATATCCTGTACAAATAGTCAAGGTGAAGCCTGTGCATTTCACAGTTTTTGGGTTCTTTCTTTTAATATATTTGATGCATAATGGCATATTAGTTTTAAATTTTCACTATGGAGCAAGCAATGCTTGCTAGTATTTCCCAGACTTGGCTAGATAGATTTTTCAATATGCTAATTTTGCTTATGGTTCAAAACACAATTCCACTGTTCAACCTAGTCCCTAAAAATTTTCTAGCAAGAAAAAATTCTCTTTTTTAGTCCGCCCTATTTCATCTTCTAATAGGGTCATACTACAGTGACTTTCTATGGAAAGAGGCTTAGTCTAAGTAATTACCTGTGTCTTATCAAGACAAAATATAAAAAAATAAATAAAATGGAAAAATACAGTTGTGCCTGTACTTTCCATTCTGCAATGAAATGCTAAAATACTTCTCTTAAAACAAGTGGAAGATTATCAGTGACAAAGAGATACAGATAATGGCAAGGGATCTAATAGAAACCATTTAACTCAGTCAAACTGCATTTAGAGCCTCTTTAACATATTCTGTAGATATTTAACTTCCCACAAGAAGTTAAATAACAAAAGAAAATATTTGCCTCCTATGGATAAATCGAGAGAAGCAATAAGAAATGTCATTGAAGTGTTACTACACCAGATATTTGAATTTAGCTTTGGAATAACTCCTCATGTAAA